TGAAAAATAATGTTGATATGAAGGCACAAGAGAAAGGACAAGGCTAATGCTTGTGTGATAAGTAGCCAAACAAGGAAAAAATAAAAACACATGAAATTTATATATATTTATATGTATAATTTTTAAAAATTATGTAACTAAACACTTGAAAAAAATAAACCTGTGGCCCTGAAAAGTACCAATGATCCAATCTTATGGGGTATTTTAATTTTACTGGTTTTCCTAAGGTCCAAACTCTCTATAATAATAAACTTCTCCACCGTACTCACAATTAATAATTAAGGTTGGTTCATTATTTTGGATTCACGTCTACTTTGTCTAATAACCTTTTATTTCTCTGTACCCCTCATCTACCACCCCAAAATAACAAAATCAGGTTGTATTAAAGTATTTTAACTGCAAATCCATTATATTTCAAATCTGACAATTATTTCAATTCATGACACCTATAGCACATTATCTATATTTGTACACTTTATTTAAAAACAATAATACACTTAGAGCCACCAGAAAAGGATATCTCAATTAGCTTATCTATACCCTGAATTTACAAAAGAAACTTCTTGCACCACAAAAATTAGCATTTGGATTAATTTACATTAATTGATATTATAACTAATTTTTAAAATACCTGAAGATCAAACAATTTGTCCCAGGGCTCACCAGTTGAGGGGTGTAGGGTGTGGAGAAAAGGAGTGACTTAGGAATCTGAACTGATGATGCCCCGAGGTCAGCTCTAGTAAACTGTAGTTGAGGAAACATAAAATAACCAATAAACTTCAAGATTACAAAGAAGTGGTTCCTCCTAAAAACAGATATTAGATCATATAGTTGGGATGGATGTAGGGGATAACTCTTAATCTGGATTGGAAAAAAGTGTGTGGAGAAGGTGTGTGTGTGTGTGTGTGTGTGTGTGTGTGTGTGTGTGTGTGTGTGGTGGGGGGGGGGGAGGAGGAGTGTTGCGGGAGGGGGGAGGGGTATTAGTTTTTCACAAGAGGCAAACTTCGCCAAACAATGAGAAGAAAGTCGGGAGGGAGGTATGTGATACACTGAAGACTTTCTGATCGCTGATAACACCAAATTTAGCAGCTCTCTACAAGTCAACTAAAATACCGTTCTCTGAGACATTTTCAGAGAGGAGCTAACAAACAACCAGGGGGAAAAAAACCATTCTACATAAACAAGGCACTCACTGGTTCACAGCCTGTTAAAAACCCAGGCAGACATTACAGTTAATAAAGTCAACTTTCTAATTTGCATCAGAGGGATGACAAGCATGTGGTCAAATTAAATCAAGTCAAAGCTTGATTAGCAAAGATCCAGAAAATGCTGGCCCCTAAGCACTACCTTCAGTAATACTGCTAGGATAAGTAAATGGGGACTAGGGATCTATGTTTGGCCTAATATTTGCATTTTTAAGTATTAAAAAAAGTGATGTAATTTGTTAAATATTTTGTCAACCTTCTGTCCCTTACACTGACATGGAGACCCAGTTGGATAATGAATATGGCCAATTAAAAAGCCTTCAGTGACAGAAGTGAAAATTACTAGTCATTTACCAATGACCTGTCTTCTGGTTTTAAACACAGCTGTTAAGTCTTTGGGACCTTCCCCTAAAACCAACTTTGGGAATTGATATATTTCACAAAATATACATATAATTTATGTCAGCAACTACTTTTGTACAACCTGAATCCCAGTGTCAAACACTAAAGATCTGCAATGATATAAATAATTAAATGAGTAACATAGTAATGGAGGCAACTGCTAAGTAAATAAAATTAATGATCATGTACTTAATAGCTTTGAAATAGCTTTCAAAGAACAAAGAAAGCTGAAGAAAATTATACTTAGATATCTCTCTCTCTCTCCAGTTTGGCTCTTGGTTGAAAACATCACACAGACATACACACTAACCAGAGATTAGCTATCTAGACTCACTATCAACATTGATGATAAAATTTAAGCAGTTCTTTCAAAAGAAAACCAAAATTAAAACTAAGTCTTTCAATCTGATTTGTGACATCTTAGTTCAATATAACTTAAATGACAAAGCCTGAGAAAAGCACCAACACAGCTTTTTCAGTTGTACCCAGCCATCATTTCATATGTCATAAAGATTTGCTTTAGTTAAAATGGCAGCAATGACAGAGGTAGATATGACAGATGCCATCTAAATACTATTCTTAGGTGGAATTTTAACTAGTTCAAAGTGTTTAATCTAAAAATAATTTTTACTAGTTGAATCTCTTCATTACATAAGAATTTCATGACATGCTCTTGTGTAAGGGGAAATACATGAAGTACTAAAAAAGGTGACCTTTAAAAATTACATTTACTTAGCCAACATTAATGAGATCCCATAATTTTGGTGAACCAGTAACTTATCCTTTTACCTGAACTTGACTATAATTAAATAAGAGTTATTTTCTTCTCTTCTGAAATTTTTAGGAATTCACATTCCAAATTCTTGGAAGGATAAATGGTACTCAGAAGAGCACAAAGACAGCACATGAAATGTCCCCTGAAGTCCTAGAAGTTGAGCAGATACATTAAAAAGACATTGATGGTCACAAATCAGGACCTTCACAGATTGGCTCACGCATGTGAGCACATACACACACACACACACACACACACACACACACACACACACTTTCTCTCTCACTCTTCCCCTTTCCCCCCAAAACTCAATCCTCATCCTCACTGTAAGGCTGCATTTGTATTTTTTTTTAAAGGCACCTCTCATTCTCTAGCTATTGCCTTCTTGATGATATCTGTTTTGTTAAAAATCCTGAATGTTCAATGGAAATAGTTCAGTACTGAGAATGGAATATTTTTCAATTCACATTTAAATAGCCAAGTTTTCTTACATTCAGATTTTAATAAACTAGAACAACAATCTTTAAAACAAGCATGCTAGCCTATAATGAATATAGTATTTACAGTAATTTAAACATTTAGAACTATATATTATACTGCAAAAGCAAACAGCACAACACTCATCATACTCATCATTACCTGCTGTGTACACCACCTCCAAAAATGAAAATACAAAACAGTAAAATGCACCTATGGTTTTATATATATATATATGTATATATATATATAGTCTA